CAGCCGGGGAGGGGGGAGGGCGGGGCGCTTGGAGGCGGCGGGATGGGGTGGGGCCGAGCTCCCCACCCCCATCCCACCCCCCAGGCCCCTCCTCAACCCAGGCTCCTGGCGTGTGTGGGTGTGTCTGCGCGTGTGCATGCCGTGTTCGTGTGCAAGGGGCCAGGAGGGGGAGGGAGGTGTGTGTGCGTGTGTGCCCATGAGGGCTGCTGCCGGCACGCGCGCGCGCGCGCGCGTGTGTGTGTGTGTGTGTGTGTGTGTCGGGGAGGGCCGCGCGTGCAGTGTACGTGTCCGTGTGCGAGGCGGTGGCCCCAGCGGCCTGGGCGTTGGCTGAGCTGGCGCGGGGCTTCCAGAAGGCCGGGGGGCCTCCAATGTGCCGGTTAGGAGTTTGAGGGGAGACAAGCGGGGGTTTCGGGCAGGGGGGCCGGGAGGGCCTGCCCGGAAGTCACACTGGCGGCAGCTGTCCAAAGGGCTTGGTGGTCTGGGGGCGGGGAAGGCGGGCGGGCCCCACTGTAAATACGGCCCCAGGGTGGTCAGAGGGTCCCATGCCACCCGTCCCCTCGTGACCTCCCCCTTGACCTCCAGCTGACCGTGCATGCCAGCTGAGTGGCCGGTTGAGTCCTGGACCCTCTCTGGGGTTTGCCTCCCCCACCCCTCTCCCCGTCAATAAAACTGTTTACAACCACCGGCCCCCCAAGGCTCTGGCTCTGCTCTGTCTCCTGGGGGTGCGCCCGGTACCACCCTGTTGACTGGGCGGGGTTGGGGGTCCCTGGGCCACTCCTGGCGGCAACCGGAATTCTGGGGAGCAGGGTGTGGAAACGGGGCATCTCCCCCAGTTTCTGATTAGTTTTTGAGCAAATATTTACTGTGCACCTGCTATGTGCCAGGCGCCGCCGGGGACAAAGGTCCTTGTCCGCATGAAGTTCGTAGCCTAGTTGGGGACACCGGCCCTGCGCTGGCAAATATGGGCTGGATTTGAAGGAGTGATGTGTGCAGTGAGGAAAACCACAGATGATGTGCCAGGTAGGGGGTGACTGTGTGGCGCGCCCTGGGGGTGGGCAAGGAGCGCCTGTCGAGGTGACAAGAGCTGAGATGTGACGAGTGAGAAAGCAGGTGTGCAGGCAGAGGGGGCAGTGTGGGGACGTGGGAACACACTTGGAGGGGGGTGAGGCGGCCACGGTGGCCCACAGCAGCACCGGGAGGGGAGGGGAGGGGCGGGGAGGGGCAGGAGCAGGTGCAGATGAGTGAGAGGAACGTCCGGGCTCCGGGCGGCCAGGGCCGCAGAGCTGAGGAGGGTAAAAAAGTTTTTTATTGTGGTAACATCCACATACATCCACATGAATTCAGATGCACCATTGGAAGCATTTGAAAGCTCGCAGTTCAGGGGGCGCCTGGGGGGCTCAGTCGGTTAAGCGTCCGACTTCAGCTCAGGTCGTGACCTGAAGGAACGTGGGTTCCAGACCCGCATCGGGCTCCGTGCTGCCAGCTCAGAGTCTGGAGCCTGTTTCAGAGTCTGTCTCCCTCTCGCTCTGGCCTTTCCCTGCTTATGCTCTGTCTCTCTCTCTCTCTCTCAAAAATAAACATTAAAATGTCTTAAGCGCACAGTTCGGTGGCATGAAGTCTGTTCACATTGTTAGGCACCCATCCCCACCATCCATCTCCAGAACCTTTGCATCTTTCCAAACTAAAATCCCATCTCCATTAAACATTAACTCCCCACCCTCCTCCCCCAGCCTGATGGAGTTTATTGTAAGTGGGACAGGGAACCATCGAAGGTTTTAAGTGGGGGGTGGGCTCTGACTGCACTTTAAGAGATAGATCCCCGTAGCATTTGGCCTTTGCAGTTCACACCCCTTCCTTCCCACCCACTTCCCATGAAGTGCCTCCCGTGTGCTGGGTTCTGGGAACGGAGCAGTGGGCAAGACAGGTCTGGCTCCCCGTTGGCCCCGGAGGAGACTGTTAGCATAGTAAACAAACGCAACACACGAGGATGACATCCCCGGGCTCCCCGCGAGCGGCGTGTGTCTATTTCTTCAGCTTTACTGGGAGAGGTTTGATGTACAGTGTGTAAGTTTTAGATGTGCAACTCAGTGATTTGATATGTGCCAGTGTTGTACCATGATTACCACAGTGAGGTTAACACATCCATTACTTCACGTACTTGTGTGTGTCTGTGTGTCTGTGTACAATGGGAACATTTAAGATCTACTCACGCCCGGTGTGGCTCAGTCTGGTAAGCGTCCAACTCTGGATTTCAGCTCAGGTCATGAGCCCATGGTCGTGGGTTCTGAGCCCCTGACTTGGCTGTGCACTGACAGCGCAGAGCCTACTTGGGATTCTCTCTCCCTCTCTCTGCCCCTCCCCTACTCTCTCAAAACAAATAAAATTAAAAAAAAAAAGAAGAAGAGGGGTGTCTGGGTGGCTTAGTCGGTTAAGCGTCCGACTTTCACTTAGGTCATGATCTCGCGGTTCGCGGGTTCGAGCCCCGCGTCAGGCTCTGTGCTGACTGCCAGCTCAGAGCCTGGAGCCTGTTTCAGAGTCTGTATCTCCCTCTCTCTCTGACCCTGCTCACGCTGTCTCTCTCTCTCCTAGAAATAAATAAAAATGTTAAAAAAAAAAAAGAAGAAGAAGAAGATCTACTCTCTTAGCCATTTTCAAGTACATAATACAGTAGTGTTAACTATAGTCACCAGGCTGTACATTACAGCTCCTGGAAGTATCTGTACCCTTAGGCCAACATCCCCCCATTTCCTGCACCCCCAGCGCCTGAAAGCCACCATCCTACTCTGTTTCTAGTTTTCTATTTAAAAATTTTTTAATGTTTTATTTATTTCTGAGAGAGACTGATAGAGACAGCATGAGCAGGGGAGGGTCAGAGAGAGAGGGAGATACAGAATCTGAAACAGGCTCCAGGCTCTGAGCTGTCAGCACAGAGCCCGACGCGGGGCTGGAACCCACGAATCGTGAGATCATGACCTGAACCAAAGTTGGATGCTTAACCGACTGAGCCACCCAGGCGCCCCTCTAGTTTTCTATTTAAAAATGTTTTTTAGTGTTTATTGTTGAGAGAGAGCACAAGCAAAGGAGGAGCAGAGAGAGGGAGACACAGAATCCTAAGCAGCCTCCACGCTCCCAGCTGTCAGCACAGAGCCTGACACTGGGCTCGAACCCACAGATCATGACCTGAGCCAAAGTCAGACACTAAACTGACTGAGCCACCCAGGCGCCCCTTCTGTCTTTTGATAATAGCCATTCTGACAGGTGAGAGGTGGTATCTCATTGCGGTTTTGATTTGCATTTCCCTGCGGATGAGTGAGGCTGAGCACCTTTCAAATACCTGTTGGCCGAAGGTATGTCTTTCCCAGGAAACTGTTCTTCAGGTCCTTTGCTTTTTTTGCGCATGTCTGTTTTGGTGCGTCCATCTCAACGGGGCAATTCTGTCCTGCTTTGTCTGTGCCTCTGTGTTGTACCCGTGTCTGTGTATTCATGACGATATTCACTCATCTTTCTTTACGCCTGTCACGGTCAGCCTGCACACGCCTCTCTGAACCTCTGTGCCCACAGGACAGAACTCATATTCATTCTCACGGCTTGACAGAGACAAAACTCTTCAGAGATTGGGCTGGGGAGGGATTGGGCCATGGCCAGGAGTGATGGAAGTCCTGGGTGCATGTAAAGTTAACACATCACGCCTGAATGTTTTGAACCCAACAAGAATGAAAGCACTGAATAGCTGAACCCATGAGATGCAGCCAAAGCAGTTCTCAAAGGGAAATTTGTAGCTTCCGGTTGCATTTATTAGGGAATGAGGGAGACCCAAAACAAATAGCACATTAGCTTCAGATGAAGATAGAAAGAACAGAAGGGCCCTTGGAAACTGAGTTCCACTTTACAGATATGGAAACTGAGGCCAAGAAAGGGTAAGCTGCTCACCTAAGATCACAAACAAAGCAGTTTCCATAGAGCTGGGAGTTAGAGCAGTTTATTCCCTCCCCAGCCATTGTCCAAAGACTGTGGAGACTTTTGACATCACTCACTTTTTAATTCTATTTTTTTTTTAATGTTTTTTTATTTATTTCTAGGATAGAGAGAGAGAGAGAGAGAGAGAGACAGCGTGAGCAGGGGAGGGTCAGAGAGAGAGGGAGTCACAGACTGAAACAGGCTCCAGGCTCTGAGCTGGCAGTCAGCACAGAGCCCGACGCGGGGCTGGAACCCACGAACCGCGAGATCATGACCTAAGCGAAAGTCGGACGCTTAACCGACTAAGCCACCCAGGCGCCCCGTTTTTAATTCTATTTTTTAGAAATTATTTCACTTGGGGGTGTCTGGGAGGGCTCAGTCAGTAAACGTCTGACTCTTGATTTCAACTCAGGTCATGATCTCACAGTTGTGGAATTGACCCCTGCGTCAGGCTCTGTGATGAGTGTGGAGCCTACTTGGGACTCTCTCTCTCTCCTCACTCCTGCCTGCATGCTCTCTCTTGCTAGGAAAAAAAAAACAGAAATTGTTTCATTAAAAAAAAAAGTCTACAATATGTCATGAATTCAAGGCAAGTACTCTTTGTTCCCTCCATTGAAATTCCTGATTCCTCAAATTTATTGCAAAGAGTATCTCTTGCTTAAAGAGCTGTCCCTGCCCATCCCCCGCCCCCAGAATGGAGCCTTGCAAACTTGACCCTTGATTCCTGGATTGGGGAAAGTGAGGATTCAGCCCCAGAGACTCTGGGGTACCCACCCCCCAAAAGCAGCAATCAGGGGGATGAAAAACCAGGTAGAAGAAGGCAGAGAAGGGGGCAGGCAGCTCCCCTGCGGGGCTCCCTGTGCCAGGAAGCAATTTTGCAATCCTGACCACTCCCTTCCCCCTGCGTGGATCGGGTCCAGACACTAACGGGAACCAGATGTGCGTGAGGACTTCCCTGTGGTGGGCGGTCCTGCCCCCAGTCCAGCAGGTATAAGGCTCCCCACCAGGCTAAGCGAACCCAGATGGAAATGAGAGAGGCCATCATGTCTTCTTGGAGGCCAGCGCGAAAGCTCAGGTGAGTCCACCCCTGCCCATGGGGAGCAGAACTGGATACTAGAAAGTTCCATCCAGCACAGAAGCCACAGCGCGAGATGTAGACGCACAGGTTGGAACAGATTCTTTTTTTTTTTTTAATGTTTTATTTATTTCTAGGAGAGAGAGAGAGAGAGAGACAGCGTGAGCAGAGGAGGGTCAGAGAGAGAGGGAGTCACAGACTGAAACAGGCTCCAGGCTCTGAGCTGGCAGTCAGCACAGAGCCCGATGCGGGGGGCTCGAACCCACGAACCGCGAGATCATGACCTAAGCGAAAGTCAGACGCTTAACCGACTAAGCCACCCAGGCGCCCCAGGCTGGAACAGATTCTAACTGCGGACAGACTCACTCTCACACACTCACTAGAGCGTCCCAGGTGCTCTGAGGCCCAGACAGAGAGTTGGGGACCCATCGACGCCTCCCGAGCAGCACCCTATCAGAGGCCCGCTGGAGGGACCGGAGCAGCAGGAGCCCCTCCCTTGAAGGATTATGGCGCCGCCTATAAACCACCCCACCCCAAGGCCAAATGCCTGCTCCTATCTACACAGAGCAGATGCACCTTCCGTGTTCAGAGTTCCCTTTGGAGCCCTGGGTAGCCCTCGAGCAAGCCTAACCTTGTTTGACCAGGACTGGACAGAAAGAGGAGGATCCCCCAGAGGGGAAAACTTGGGAAAGTCAGAGAAAGCTTCATGGAAAGGGGAGCATCGGAGCTGGGGCTTTGCAGGACACGTAGGAGTTCGCTGCCTCTGCCTTCAAAATAGGGAGCCGGGGAGATAAGAAATGACCCAGAAAACAAGCGAGAGCAGAAGGAATTAGCAAATTTGACTAAATAATGAACAACCTGTTGGGGTTAGGCTGGCAATGGGGAGGGGTGACATTTATGGGTCAGACTGGCAAACGCAGTTTTCAGAGAGTTAGAATTCTACCTACCTCTGGCAGCTGTGGGCGGGGGGGGGGGGGGCGCAGCCAGGAGAGGAGCAGGCCGTGACTGCACTGGTCCTGGGGACCAATGAGGTGGCCCGGTCCCTGGGGATGCAGAACTAGGCGGCTGATTCCAGGGACGTTTTCACCAAGCTGGGTGTATCTTCTGTCGTTGTCTGCAGCCCCAGAGGCCCAAGCTCTCGGCTTTCTAGAACGCTCTTCCTGCTGCTGCTGTCTATGGCCTCAGCCCACGAGGTCACCCCCAAACCCGCCGCCTGCTTGGTGTCCCATTCCGTCAACGGCAGCTCTGTCTCCTGCCACCCCCCCGCCCAAATCCCCCACCGCTTCCCGGCCGACACGGTCTACCTGGTGGTGGAGTTTTTCAACCTCACGCGGCTGCGCGAGGACACCCTCCGGGGCCTCACTCGCCTCCAGGAACTGCACCTCTCCACCAACCGGCTGGAGAGCCTCCCGCCCAAGTTTCTGGTGCCCGCGCCGCAGCTGGAGGTGCTGGACCTGACCCGCAACGCCCTGAGCCGCCTGCCCCCCGGCCTCTTCGGGGCCTTGGCCGCTCTCCACACCCTGGTGCTGAAGGAAAACCGGCTGGAGGGCCTGGAGCCGTCGTGGCTGCGGGGTCTGAAAGCCCTACGGCATCTGGACCTCTCGGAAAACCACCTCCAGACCCTGCCCCCGGGGCTCTTAGCCAACGTCACCTCCCTGCGCGTCCTTGACCTCAGCAGTAACCAGCTGAAGGCTTTGCCCCCAGACCTCCTGAAAGGCCCCCTGCAGCTCGAAAGGCTGCATCTGGAAGGCAACAGACTGCAGGTGCTGGGGGAGGCGCTCCTGGCGCCCCAGCCGGACCTTCGCTACCTCTTCCTGAATGACAATGAGCTGGCCACCGTGGAGGCCGGCGCCTTCCGGCCGCTGCGGCAGCTGGACATGCTGGACCTCTCCAGCAACCTGCTCACCGGCGTGCCCAAGGGGCTCTGGACTTCCCTGGGGCGGCCCACCCGGGACATGAAGGACGGCTTCGACATCTCTGGAAACCCCTGGATCTGTGACCGGGACCTGGAAGACCTCTGTGGGTGGCTTGAGGCCAACAGACACAAGATGTTCTCTCAGAATGAAACGCGCTGCGCTGGGCCTGAAGCCTTGAAGGGCCAGATGCTTCTGGCAGCGGCCGGGTCCCACTGAGCCTGGGGCCGGGCTGGGGACACAGGGCTGGGAGCACACTGCCCGCTACTTGGCAAGAGAACTCACCTTCAGCTTTCCGGAGCTGGCGGATGGGCCCACCTGGGCCCAGCTTCCCCAGACACCTTGGGCTCTCTGGGCTCCCTGTACCCTCTTCCGAGAACTCCTTTCCCTGTTTTCCAGATCTCTTGGTCTCCAGGCGCCACAGCCTGCTCGGCCTCCCTCTGGCTCAGCCCTGGCCGCGCTGGGGTTGTCTGTGTCTAGCTCTGTCTCCCCCGCTTTGAGGGCCTCTCTGGATGCAGGACCTGGGGCTGGGTTGCCTTGTAGCCAGCGTCACCCAGTTTGGGGCCAGAGCCGAGGGGTTAATAAATAACTGTGGAAAGGAACTGGGTGAACTGGAAGTCACTGTGCCCCAAGCATCCCCTAAGTCGACTTCCTAGGTCTCCAGAAGGAAGGAGGAGGGTAAGGGATTGCAGCTGGGATCTGAGAGCTTGTGGCTCCTCCTCTCCCCTCCCCCTCAATTCAAGACTTAACTGCAAATAAAACCCTGACCGTTGCCCGGAGTGTCATTTTACTGGTGGATTCCTGCCACAGCTTGTGTCCTGGGGAAGGTTTAAATTAAACCAGATTGCTTCAGGTCTCCAGAGGGAGAGCCGCCCAGGGCAGGCTGCTTTGAGCCGCCTGCTGACCCAGTGCTGGGCATGCTGGAGCCCGGGTCGGATTTGGGGGACCCCTGGGTGTTTGGGGGGCATGCCCAGTGTTTTCAGCTCCCAGGAAGGATGGTCCCTGGCGGTCATTCCGGGCCTGATAATGACAGCCAGAGAGGGGCCTGGAGTCTGGCAGAGAGGGGTTTGAATTGGATCCCTCAGTTTGCTCATCTGTAAAATGGAGATCCAAGGGAATGGGCCGGCCTGAATCCTGGCTGAGTTCAAGGGCAGATTTTTCGAAATAAAAACACCCTGAAGACTTGCTCAAGGTCACTGTTTGGTGAGGTGGTGGGGGCCGTGATCATCCTCCACTGTCTTCGCGGCAACGGCAGGGTGACAGGTGGCCAAACCTGGCCAACAGAAGTCCAATACGGGGACATCCAGCGTCCCCAAGTTACTATGACAACAGCCGCGCCGGGACCCCAGCCGGGACCCCAGAGAAGGCCGGGGAGGCGGGGAGGTGGTGTGGGTGAGCTGGAGCCCCGCCCCCGGGGCACGCCTCCGCACGGCCTCTCCCCATTGGCCAGTACCTAAGGCCCCGCCCCCGAGAGAGGCTATAAGGCGGGCGGGGCGCGCGGTGGGCGGAGCCTGGGGCGGGAGTCTGGGGTGGGCAGCGACTCTCGGGGGGCTGTGGCTGCGCACGCCCGGGTGAGTGCGGAGTGGGGGGCGTCCCGGAGAGCCCCGCAGGGTAGGGGCTCCTGATCGGGCGGGCCGGAGAGGATCCAGCGGCGTGAGAGGGGAGGGGGGTGAAGGGCTGGAGCAGGTGGCAGAGACCCTTGGCCCAGTTGGCTAAAGTTCAGGACCCACTTGGGCTGCGACCAGGGCTCTGAAGGCACAGCGTGGGGAGAAGGGAAGAACTTCGAGCGGGGAGTCCCGGGTCGAACTCCCCACTCTGAGCCTGCTTAGATGTGTGGTCGTGGAAAGAGCATGGACCTCACCTCTGGGTGCCTCAGTTTCCCTGTCAGACTGTAGGCTTATTGGGAAGGTTTATTCCGAAGCTACGACCTGCAGGGGGCTGCTTGTGCAGTTCTGTTGGGGGGTGATGGTGGGGATGTGTTGGGGGGTGCCCAGGGGCAAGAGGGACCTCTTCTCCTTTGCAGAAGAGGAAAGAGCTCAGAGAGGTGAAGGCACTTGCCCAAAGTCACACAGCAGGTAATGGCAGGATTTGAACCCAAGTCTTTCTGTTTCCAGAGCCCATGCTTTGAACCCCTACAATGTCCCCACCTTGCCGGAGGCCCTCCGTGCGCACCCAGTGTGTGGAGAGCCCCATGCATGCACTGTCCATGTCCCTCATGAGCTGTGAGGTTGGGTACGATCATAACTCTGTTTTGAGGAAACTGATGCTCAAAGAGGGAACCACACTTGGCCACGGGCAGGGGGTGTGTGGAAGCCCCTCTCACCCGGCCCTGCCCCTCAGGATGTCTGCAGCCGGCATGTCAGAAGATGAGACTGCTCAGCCCCCCAGAACCAGCCTGTGGGATCAGGACAGGCAGGTGAGGGGCTGCCCCGCCCACGGAGCAGGGGCACAGGGAGAGGGGGGCCGTCCCACCTGGGACAGTGTCAGACCGGGGACTCCCTCCCATGCTTATCCTTGCTGGACCTTGTGTGTGTGTGTGCGGGGGTGGACGGCACATCTTACCCATTTCCCAGACGGCCGCAGGGACGCCCGGGGCGGGGAGCATGTCTGCAGCCACACCCGCTCCCCTCCCCCACCTCGGGGTCCCTGCCTGTCTCCGTCTCTGTGCCCACCGTCTGGGCACTCTCAACAGCAGATGCACAAATGACAGAGATCACAGCACACGCTCTGCTCCGGTCCCCGTTCCAAGCACTCCACGCACGCTGGCTCCTTGACTCTCCCAGCTCTAGAAACCCATTTTACAGATGGGGAGGCTGAAGCCCCAAGTTAAGTGTGCAGTCCCCCGGCCCCCTCCTTCGCTCCTGGTCCCCAGCCCAGAGAAGGGCAGCAGACGGAGGGCCGGCTCAGCTGCCCACACCCCCTGGGGCCCCTCTGAGGCCACCTCTCCCCGCAGAACGTGGTGCAGCGCGTGGTGGCTCTGCCCCTGGTCAGGACCACGTGCACTGCGGTCTCGGAGGCTTACAGTGCCGCCAAGGACAGGCACCCGCTGCTGGGCTCCGCCTGCCGCCTGGCCGAGCACTGCGTATGTGGCCTGACCGCCTGCGCCCTGGACCGCGCCCAGCCGCTGCTCAGTCACCTGCAGCCCCAGCGTGAGTCCCCCGCGTCCCCGCGTCCTGAGGTTCCATGTCCCGGACCTCCGCCCTCAGCTGTCTGCTGGGGCGCCCTCGTCTGTGTCCCCATGTCCTCCCACGGTTGGTGGCCTGACCTACCTGCGCCCACCTCTCCCTGGACTCCTGTGATGAGCAGAGGGGTCCAACCTGACGGGGGGCCGGGGACACAGACCCTTGGCCTCCATCTGACCAAGGAAGGGGGTCACCTCAGGGTCTCAGCTCAAGGCTCGCCCCTCCTCCTCCTCAGCTGGTGTGCGTGACCTTGAGCCTGCCCGCTGGGGCGTCTGAGCCGGCCACGGGCGAGGAGTCACCTTGGTGCTGGCAGCAGCCGGGCGGCAGAGCTGAGGCCGAGAGGGCAGTGGAGGTGGGGCCCGGCCTGGTGGCCCACCCACAGCCTCAGGGTCCCCCCCGCCCCTCCCAGGGTGGCCCAGGCCTCTCCCCGAGTCTCTCTCCCTCACTCCCCGCCTCCCTCCCCCCAGTGGCCACCGTGAACAGCCTCGCCTGCAGGGGCCTGGACAAGCTGGAGGAGAAGTTGCCGTTTCTCCAGCAACCTCCAGAGATGGTACCGCGGGGACCCAGAGGGGGCTCGGGGTGGGAGGGAGCGAGGCGTCGTCCTCTGGGACCCGCCCGGACGCCTGCATCAGCCAGACCGGGGCTGAGTGCCGTTTGGGCCCAACTCCGAAAACGCCAGCCAGATTCATATAATCAGCACCCGAGTTTACTGAGCACTTACCATGTGCTCAGTAACCTTGGTGGGTGCTGGTAGCCCCTTCAAGGACCCTGTGAGGGAGAACTTTCCCTTTCCTCCGTGTTATAGAGGGGAAGTTGAGGCCCAGCGCCAGGAAGGGCCAGGGACCCTGGACACCCAGCCCCAAGGAGCTGGGGGAAGGGAAGGGAGCCAATGCCTGGAAAGGGACCCCTCCCATCAGGTGGTGACCTCGGCCAAGGACACGGTGGCCAGCAGCATGACGGGCGTGGTGGGCCTGGCCCGGCAGAGCCGCCGCTGGAGCGTGGACCTGAAGCGCTCCGTGAGCCACGCCGTGGATGTCGTGCTGGGCAAGTCCGAGGAGCTGGTGGACCACTTCCTGCCCATGACTGAGGACGAGCTCGGTGAGGCCGGCCCGCCCACTGCCCCCCCCTCCCCCCCCATCCCCAGAGGTTCCCCATCAGAGAGGCCCCGGACTTGCCCAGGGCCACACAGCAGTTCAACAGGAAACACACAGGAGCTAGAGCCCAGGCCTGAGCGCCCCTGCACTCCCACCGCCCCCTGACCACGCAGACCCTAAGGCTGCACGGGGCTTACAGACTCGACGGCCACGGTCTCAAACTGGTGGCCCTCTTGATTGTAATACAGGCCTAGGCAATGCCTTTAAAATGCTTTAATTCATCGTGTGCATTTTACAATCGGATCTCACCCTGCGGATCCTGATCTGTGGCTGGTCCTCAAAACCTAAGCACTTGGGCTGAACGGCACCTGCCCCCTTATACGGTTCCCTCACACCCACCATTCTCACAGGGCACCTGGCGGGCCCGTCAGGGGAGCATGTGACTCTTGATCTTGAGTTTGCAAGTTGGAGCCACACCTCGGGGGTAGAGATTACGTAACACAATAAAATCTTTAAAAAGCAAAACAAGGAGCGCCTGGGGGGCTCAGTCAGTTAAGCGTCCAACTTCAGCTCAGGTCATGATCTCACGGTTTGTGGGTTTGAGCCCCGCACTGGGCTCTGTGCTGACAGCTCAGGGCCTGGAGCCTGTTTCAGATTCTGTGTCTCCCTCTCTCTGCCCCGCCCCCACGCGTGCTCTGTCTCTCTCTGTCTCAAAAATTAAAAAAAAAAAAAAAAGGCAAAACAAAAAAACCACCATTCTCCAATTTTTGGCATCTTGTTTTTGACCCCGGAGATGATCTGACTTCTCAACCCCCTCCTTACGGGGACTAGAAGAACATGTCGAGGCACTCCCTCCTCTGCAGAAAGGCTCTGGGGCATTTATGAAGCACCTACTGTGTGCCAAGCACTTGTAGTATACCCTCTCTTTTAAGGATTTTTTAGTTTATTTTGAGAGAGAGGGAGGGAGGGAGGATGGGGGAGGGGCAGAGAGACCGAGAAAGAGACTCCCAAGCAGGGTTCTCACCATCAGCACAGAGCTGGATGTGGGAATCGAACTCACAAACCGTGAGCTCATGACCTGAGCCAGTCAAGAGTCGGCCGCTTCTGCAAACTGAGCCACGCAGCGCCCCCTGTAGTATATTCTGAGCAGACCATCTCATAGAAGGGCTGGAATCCCAGGTCTGCCTCTTGCACGCAGTGGGGCTTCATCGCCCTTTGCCTCAGTGTTCCCCATCTGTAAATGGGGTTAATAATAGTGCTACGTCTTAGGGTTTGGGGAAGGTTAAATGGGTTGCTGTTAGCAAAGGAAAACTATATATTTGGGAGCCCGTGGGCTCGTCCACGCGGGCGTGGAGGCGCCGCCACGCTGACCCCTCCCCCGTCCCGCCCCCCAGCGGCCCTGGCAGCCGAGGCTGAGGGCCCGGAAGTGGGCTCCGTGGAGGAGCAGAGGAGGCAACAGGGCTACTTCGTGCGCCTGGGCTCCCTGTCAGCGCGGCTCCGCCACCTGGCGTATGAACACTCTCTGGGGAAACTGAGGCAGAAGAAACACCACGCCCAGGACACGCTGGCGCAGCTGCAGGAGACACTGGAGCTGGTGAGATCCGTCTGTCCGCTGCCGCCGCGCCATGCGGGCCAGTAAGCGAGGGCTGCTCCGAAGCGGGAGGCAGAGCGGGCCTCGGCCGCCTCCAGCCCCGGGTGCTCAAGGCTGGGCCAGAGAGGCGACACGGGGCTGGGGAGGCTCGGGGGGTCCAGGTTCAGCCTGGGGACACCGGCAGGGGCTGCGGGGGAGCAGAGGAAGTAGGCGCTGGAATTTATAGGCAAAGTACTTCGGAAAGAAGACCAGGAACCCCTCCCCTTGTTTGCCTGCCTCCAATCCTGATCCACCCCAGCTCTTAGGTTCTAGCCTCTTCCCTCACTGTCTGTCCCTCCCTGCCCCTAGGGAACACGGGAGCTCCCACTTTTTTTTTTTTTTTTTTTTAAATTTAATTTGAGAGAGAGAGAGAGAGCATGAGCAGGGGAGAATCCCAAGCAGGCTCCGCACGGTCAGCACAGAGCCCCATGCAGGGCTCGAACTCACAGACCAGATCATGACCTGAGCCCGAGTCAGAGCTTAACCTACTGAGCCCCCCAGGCGCCCCACGGGAGCTCCCGCTTGACTGAGCTTGACAAGTTCACAGCCCCCAACCCTCCCCTGCGTTCTTCTAGGGGGTCAGGAGCAGCCCTCGGCTCCCCGCTTCTCTGCACCCACAACGGGCACATCAGCCAGGGTGCCAGCTCCGCCCACAGCTCCCCTTCCTCACCCCCAGGTCCAGCCCCCCAAACTGCCCCTGGTCCCCCCAGCTCCATCCGGGACCCCAGGCTGCCCTCCCCAGAGCGGCCACCAGAGGACGCCGCTGAGCACCCGAGTCGGTTTCTATCCCTGAGCACAATGTCCTCAAGGTCAGGGGTCAGAATGTCCTTCCTTTTTAAGGCTGAATAATATTCCAGGGGACAGACGGGCCACAGTTTCTCTTTGTCCTCCAACACCTGTCCCGTCCTGGGCACCGAAGGTACAGTGGCCCCTCAGGACGCTCATAACGCAGAAGGTCAGGATGGAAAACATATCAGGCGCCGTGGAATCTTCCCAGCCAGAGGCAAGAAGGGAAGACTTCCTGGAGAGGGAGACGTCCACCCTGAAAACCTGGAATGAGCCAGGCAGGGGTGTGGGGTGGGCGAGGCGTGTACCTAGCCGGCCGACCAGCATGGCGGAAGGGAGTCTGAGCGTCCGGGGAGCCAGGGGTCGCGGGGCCGGCCCGGAGCAGAGGGGAGGATGCGCAGGCTGGATCGGCGGGTGGGGAGGGTTCAGAGAAGACGGTGTTCTCTACGTGTTTATCGAGACCAGATCCCGGCCCCGAGCCCCCAAACTACCACCGGTCCCTGTCCCCTCAGATCAACCTCATGCAGTGCGGGGCCACGCCCACTGCCCCCGCGCGCCCGGGGAAGGTGCACCAGCTTTGGGAGGATTGGAGCCAGCGCTCCCCAGAAAACGGCCGGCGCCGGAGCCAGGTAGGGTGGCGGCGAGGGGGTGCGCGGGGGCGCGCGGGGGCGTGAGGGTCCTGCTGGATCTCTCCAGGGGCGGGGGCGGGGGCGCGCTCCAGCGGTCCCCACCCAAGTGCTGACGTCCGCTGTCTGCAGTGTCCGTGGCGACGCCGGCAGGGAGGTGGCACAGGTCTACGGGGCGCCCTGTGGGGGAAACTGAGGCAGGGCGCCGGTCCTGGTGGGCGCCCATCCGGGACGCTGAGGCCCCTCCCCTCCCCCCGCAGGCAGAGCTGGAGACGCTCGTCCTGTCCCGGAGTCTGATGCGGGAGCTGCGGAGCACAGTGGACGCGCTGGAGACCAGTGTGCGGGGCCTGCCCCCCAGCGCGCAGGAGAAGGTGGCCGAGGTGCGGCGCAGCGTGGACGCCCTGCAGTCCGCGTTCGCCGACGCCCGCCGCTTCGGGGATGTGCCGGCGGCCGCCCTGGCCGAGGGCCGGGGCAGCGTGGCCCGGGCCCACGCCTGTGTAGACGAGCTGCTGGAGCTGGTGGTGCAGGCGGTGCCGCTGCCCTGGCTGGTGGGGCCCTTCGCACCCATCCTGGTGGAGCGGCCCGCGCCCCCGCCCGACCTGGAGACTCTGGTGGACGAGGTCGTGGGGGGCCCCGACCCCCGCTGGGCTCACCTGGACTGGCCGGCCCAGCAGAGAGCCTGGGAGGCCCAGCACGGGGACGGGCCAGCCCTCCCAGGCGACATTTCCAAGGAGGAACCCACGCCCCCCAGCCGCCCCAAGCACACCCTGATGCCGGAGCTGGACTTCTGACCGGATGGGGCCATGCGGCGGCCCAGGCGGCCTGCGGGAGGTCGCCCCGCCCCCCGGGGTCCCTGCTGCCCCCTAGCGGCCCTGCATATGCACTGACAGGCTGCAAGGGGAAGGTCGCCCTGCCTCTGACGTCCCTGCTGCCCCCTAGTGGCCAAGCGTTTGAACTAACAGACAGCGCGGTGGCCTTGCCCAGGAGCGGGGGGCCTAATTCAGAATCCCAGACCAGCTTCACTGATCTCAGACGCTCCCCACTCTTTCCCTTGGACATATGGGGACTGAAACCCAATTCAGGTCCCACTGGCCCCAAGCTGGGTTCCTCTGCCCGTAGCCCCGATCCCTGTACCCCGAGAAAAGCAGATCAAAAATCTGCGGATCAGATCAGAAACACGGTTTATCCAATGGCTGTTTGGGGTTTCGAAGAGTCGGCGCCCTCCCTCCACCCCCCTGCTTGTACAGCCTGGAGTGAGAGGTCCCTGAGGAGGTGCAGCTGCATCAGATCCACGTGGTTTGCCCTTCGGGGTCCTCGCTCCAGAATAAAGGTGCTTCGTGTTGTCGAAAGGCCCGTGGCCTCTGTTCAGGCCGGGGTGGCTGTTGGTTCCAGAGTTGCGGGGGCCTCGGGGGGGTGTGACCTGTGCTGGCCAGGACAGGCCAACCGTGGTAGGGGAAGGGCCATGGGCCAGTCTCTTGGGAGCCCTCCGTCCTTTGCCCGAATTCACAGCTGCCCCCGACACTCCCCTGTGGCTGCGTGGGGTGTGAGGAAAGCGCAGTCTGATGTGGTGAGGTCAGGGTGGCCCCTGGCCTCCCTAGGACCAGGCCCAGGGGCGGTTCTGGGAGCCTGGGCTACTCCCACCAGCCAGATTCACTTCCCAGCTCCTGTGCAGGAACCTCTATGGCTCCCAGTCACCCTCAGACCAAACCTCCAAACTCCTGGCCCTGGCACTGGAGAACTGGGGTCATCCCGGGACCCTCCACAGTCATTGCCGCCTCCCCCTGAATCGTGCGGACTTCCCCGCCTTGGGGACTTTGCCCACCCTGTACCTGGAATGCCCGCCCACCCATCTCCCGGACATGTTCACCTTCTAGCCTCAGCTCCAATGCCGCCTCCTCCAGGAAGCTCTCCCTCCCTCCACCCCAGTAGGATAGCTCTGACACTCCACAGTTCACCTTCTTGGGACTCCAAGCCCCTTCTGCCTGGACTTACAGCCCCAGGCAACCTTGCCTTCTCTTCCCCCGACGAGGCTGGGGGCCCCTGGAGGGCCAGGCTTGGTGCGGATGGGCAGGGTGGCACGCAGGATGGGCGTTTTGGCAGAGGGGAGGGCTCAGGCGGAGGCAGGGCAGTGGGGGAATCCATCTGACAAGAGCAGAGTGGGGAGAGAAAGATAATGGGTCGAGGTAAGTCTTGGAACAGAGCGGAGCCGTAGATAAGGCCCTGGGGTTGAGTCTCAGCCTTGCCTGTAACTGGGTGGCCAAGCTCTTTCCCTCCTCTGAGCCAGTTTTCTCCTCCGTGAAATGGGTGTGAAAGTAGTGAGTAGCTGCCGCTTCGCTGAATCCAGCAACACCTGCTGAGCACGCGTGCCTGGCAGGGAGCAAACCGGGTACGAATCCTGCCCTCTGGGACCTTACAATACAGTGGGAGAGGCAGACAATACACGAGAAAAAGACGGAAATTATGTTTTGGTTTTAGTAGGTGATGAAAAACGTAACAGGAGTGAGGAATGGGGAGTGTGTGAGGGTAGGAAGAGGGGTGTATTTTTTTTAATAGCGGAAGAGGGTCCAAGAAGACCTCTCGGAGGAGGTGACATATAAGCAAAGACTGAGGAGCGTTCCAGGTAGGAGGCACTGCCTGTGCAAAGGTCCTGGGGCAGCGTCAGGTCTAGTGTGTTGGAGGGACAGTGAGGAGGCCCGTGTCTTTGGAGCAGAGTGAGTCAAGGGGAGAAAGGGAAGAGGGGAGGCCAGAGAGGCGATGGGGGCCCGCGGCGGGGGGAGGACTAAGGATTTCCCCCAGGGAGGTGAGAGGCCTGGAGGGCTGAGGGCAGAGGGGGGCGGGGCCTGACTCTGGTGTTTGGGATCACTTTTATTGTCTTTGCTGTGGCCGTCGCTGTGCCCCGTGGGAAGGGGAGTGGCACACCCGGGGTGTCCCTCCCCCCGCCACCTTTGGGAAGGGCTGGCGGGATGAAGCGGGGAGACATCCCCGTTTTGCTCCCCAACTGTTTGGCAAGCACACTGCCTGCCCCGAGGAGATGACCTGGCGGAACCATCTCGCCTCCCAGCTCAGTGGCCATAACCACCCGCTGGGTGTCCCCCACCTCCACCCGCACGCCGCCGCTGGGGCCCCTGTCCCGGGCGCGCGGGCAGCCAGGAGTCTCATCTCGGGGACGGCGGTCGCTCCTCTGCTAGCCCGCACCCCTACCCACAGAAGCCCCCTCTGTACACAGGCTCTGGGTCTGGGTTTGAATCCTGTCTCTGCCACTTCCCGGCACAGGATGCCTCCTCCAGGAAGCCACCCTGGGTTGTCCCAAGTCCCCCCAGCCTGCATCTCACTCCTAGGATCCCCTTGCTCTTTCAGCACCCTGTGTTCATCTGCATTTTGGCCCTAATTTGCCAAGGGAAGTCCCTCCTGGAGAGACACATCCCCTTGCTGCTCCTCTCTCTCTGCCTGGATAGTGATAAGCTAATGTCTGGGGGGTAACCAGGCACTGGGGTAAACAGGTCACGTGCTTGACCACACTTCACACTCGGAACTGTCCTGAGTTGGCCCATCAGGCCAAACATTTCTTAAAGGCCAATTGGGAGCAAAACAGCCCTGAGGGAGGGGAGGGAGGGAGGTGTGCGCTGCGGGAAAGGGCTCTCCAGGTATTGAGAACAGCATGTGCAAAGGTCCCAGGGCAGCACGATGCCTGGCGTGTTGGAGGAACTGTGAGGAGTCCCGTGTGGCTGGAGCAGAGTGAGCAAAGGGGGAGGGGAGAGCTGGAGGAGGGGAGGGCAGGGAGAAAGCAGGGCCTTGTGGGTCCCGGTGAGGGGTCTGGAAGGGGAAACTGAGGCCCGTGGAGGGTAACGGACCAAGGAGTCCCGGCAGAGCAGAGCTCTGAACGTACTTCGTGGATGGAACCCGGAGCCGAGACAGCATGTGGGGCAGTGCCTTGGGGGCGTGGGACGGTCCGCAAACCCCTCGGCCTTGGCAGGGGTGCGTGCCGTGGGCAGAGGAGAGCAGGGGAAAGGCGCTGGGCCCGGGGCCACGCTGGGCTGGGCGGGCTGCACGTGACCGCCCCCCCCCCCCCCCCCCCCCGCTGGCAGCCTGCCTCTGTCGGCCGGGCTGCGCCTGCCCCAGACCCTATAAGGCCTGGAAGCCGAGAGCAGAGCCAGCCACCAGCTGCTCCGCCTGTGGCTCCGAGGGACCCTCAGGCACCCCAGGTGAGCAACTGGGGCCAGAGCCAGGCTGGGCCGGAGGGGTGTGGCCGGGGCGGGGGGCGGGGGGCGGGAGGCCCGGGAGCCCCCTGGTCACACACCCTCTCTGCCCCCTTCCAGCTGCTCAGAGTATCACTATGTCTGCTCAAGATGAAGGAGGCCGGGATCCTCCCAAACCCAAGGGCAAGGTGAGGGGAGACATGGGGGGGAGATCCCTGCCAGGGCCTGGGACCCCAGAACCTTGGGAAGGTGACCTTCACAGACTGGGCTCTGGAGGGCCTGGGAAGGGTGGGGTGGGAAGGCTCTGAGAGCCATGGTACCAACTGTCCCCTCCTGTCCCAAGCTGAAGGGTGGGGGGAGTGGGGTGCGCGAGCAGCCCTCAGCTCCTTCCCCACCTTGTGACCTTGAGCCAGTCACGTCCCCTCGCTGGGCCTCAGTTTCCCCATCTGTGAAATGGGGGGCCGTGGAAGGAAAAGGCCTTTGGAGACCCAGAGGGTGACCTTTTCCTCTGTCTACGGGGCCGGGCTGACTCTGCCCATTGCCCAGGCAAGGAAACTGAGACTCGGGAGGATCCAGGAACCCAGTGCTGCCCCCCAGTCCCTGGCCCAGCTAACGCTTCCCCCCTGCCCCATGTAGACCCTGGGAAGCTTCTTGGGGTCCCTGCCTGGCTTCAGTTCTGCCCGGAACCTGATAGCCGGTGCCCACAGTTCCGCCAAAGAGGCCCGGCCGGTCGCGGACCCTGCAGGTGCATCTGTGCAGCCCCCGGCTCAGGGTGAGTGGACAGCTCTGGGTGGGGGGGGCCTCTGGGGGGGACCCAGGAATAAATACCCGAGCAGGGACTTCTGGTCATTGTGGGCGGGGGGTTCATATGTGTCCAGGATCATCTCAGCAAGCACTGCAGGCTGGCATGCCCACGTGGCACCAGGGGGGAAACTGAGGCATGAATAGGGCAGGTGAGTGGCCCAAAGCAGCATAAGCGGCAACAGCGAGGGTGTGAACACGGCCTGTCTCCCTGCGATGGCCCCTCCCCTGCCTCCCACCCCATTTCTGATGCTCCGCGGACGAGGACTGGGTGCTGCCCGGGTCCGAGTCACTGAAGGTTTCCAACCTGGTTCCCAGCAAGGGGCGCTGGCTTCCTGGGGTCACATAGCCTCGGCAGGGGGGAGGGGGGCGGGGGGCTCCCCGTCCTCCATTTGCGCGGCAGGCTGACGACGGGGAGTGCGGGCCTGGACGCGCACTTGCTCCGGGCCCCGCGCCCCGGGCAGCTGACTCCTGCCCCACATACCCAGGCCAGCCGGGCAGCTGCGGCTGGGGCGGGGCGGGGCGGGGCCGGAGTCCTCTCCCTGGGGCCCCCTGGGGGTGAGGGTCCAGCCCCCAGCACCCAGCCGTAGAAAACTCCAGAGAAGTCCTGCGCCAGGAGCCTGAACCGCCCCCCAGCAGGGCTCCGCCCCCGGGGCCCTTGCTGTCACCTCCTGCTGTCCCTGGCGGGGCGACTGGGACATTCCTGACCTTTCGGGCTGTGCCCATCAATTGCGCAACGGGCACCGGGGCGGTGGATGCCAGCCTACGGCCCTCGCCCTTCCTGGTGGCCTGACCAGCTCCTGTCCCCACAGCAGCCACCAGCCTGGAGCAGACGGCCAGCGGGGAGACATGGCTGCCGCCTCCAGATAAGGTGAGAGGGGCTGGTGCACCCGAGGCGACGGCCTCCGCCTCCTTCTGGTGGCGCTCCTGGGCTTCGGAGGGGGGTCCTGGGCCAAGGAGAGGGCAGACACCCCTGTGTGTCCTGCTGTGGGATCCAGGCACAGTCTCCCCTCTGAGCTTCTGTTTCCACAGCTGTGAAATGGGTGCAGTACTAGGTACTGCCTTCCTGGCCCCAAACACTGGCAACTCACTGCGTGTCAGGCTCAGGGCTAAGCGCCTTCTGTGTGCAGGTTCTTGGTTAACCTGCCCCGTGAGGAAGGGGGCGAGGGTGGCCCGCGCAACAGCCAAAGCACAGAGAAGCCAAGCCACTAGCTGAAGGTCACACAGCAAGGCGGGTGGTGAACCTGGGGAGTCGGAGGCTGAACAGTGGGTGCTTCCTGCGCCTTCCATCCTAGCTGAACGGGGGTCTCCCTGGCTCTCCTGTCCCTAAAGCCGGGCCAAACGGAGCGGCT